AGGACAAACATCTTAGGAAGGTCATAAATACAGCATGTTTAATCGTATTTTTAATAATAATCAAGTTAAGAGTGATTTATTTATGGTGCTCAGTAGTATAAAACACCATAAACAGTTTTCAAACACAGCTTTTAGGAATCCAGTCATATAGACTTATAGACCCACGCAGGCACAAACCCATTCACATAAACACATGCGCATGCGCTGCATGTTGTATCATCCCTGCTGCTATGCTGGATTCATCCAAATATGGTTGAAGATATTTCCATGGCAACAGCAGACAGAAGGGGTGCAGACTTAGGCGGGATGATCTCCAGAGAGAGTCTGCTTGACTTCTGAATCCAACTACTCTTTTATTTTTTTATTTTTTTACTTCATTCACTGTTGCAGACAGTCATTCTTTCAGCAAATAGTTACTCTACGCAAAACTCGACCTTGGTTACATTCTGGCTGCCATGGCAATTCATCTGCAGTGCATAAACTGCAGAGGAATTTGGAAAAGTCATTCTGTAACTGTGTTTTGGTTTTTATATTGTTGAACCAATCCTTTTTGGGGGGGGGTTACAGTTTGGGTTAGGCTATTTCCAATATTATGTACATCGTTACATTAACTTCAGCATTAACTGCAAAGCAGAGCTGCTGCAAATTAGAAAAAAATACATAAATTGCAGAAATGGAACAGAAATACACCAACATACATTACACCCTAATAACAGATCACGCCATAAAAGTTAAGGATGTCTCTGTTATGTCATCACATAATTCAGTGCTACTATAATAAACCACTGTGCATTTTATAGAAGGCTAAAAGATACAGATGGAAGAGACAGAGAAGCTGAAAATGATCTGCATCTGCAATCAGTAACACTTGATGTCAAGTAAAAGGAGGACTTATTACATATAGGAAAAATGAATATAATTTATTCAGCCTGATATGACAGAAAGCCATTTTGTGTTCTTAGAGACCATGAATGTTAATATAAGTTAAGACCAGGCCGTGAGTCCTCGGTGCCAACAGTTATATATCTCAACCCAGCCACTCATTAATGAGTACACAGCCCTCTGGCACCATAAGGAATTATAGGACCGAAACAATCAATAGACTGGAGCTAAAAGGTGTGACTGTGTGTCTGCACTGCTAAAAGGGCATGCAAGTCTACTGGTGATGTGTTTGCCAAGTACTTTATTTTGATATTCCTCATTTATTCAACCGCCTATGTGGGAGAAATGAATTACCAGACAGCGATTCATAACACTGTTGAAATTAAGCGCTATTATTAAACCATCTACTGAAGCCAAAATTGATGAATTGTGGAGAAATTCAGAACATGCTGCTTAAGGCTCTACTGTAGCTACGTACAGTTAAGGGGCCATATGTTTTTTTTTTTTATTCTCACAGCATAGCATTTTGTCGTAAGTTGTGGAACTGTTTTTGCCCCTTTACTTATTTTTTCTGCAAAAATAACCTGCAAAAATGAATGAATATACCAAACTTTTTTTTAATTCATGATTTAATTTATAAAGAAAAAAAAAAAAGAAAAAAACCTGCAAAAATGAATGAATATACCAAACCTTTTTTTTTTTTTATCATGATTTCATTTATAAAGGGAAAAACATATTATGACATCATAATTTCACCAAGTTATTACAGTATTTTCTCTTATTGCATGAACTCATCCAAATACAATTGAGTCTAGCAGGGCTTTCTTTCTTGTTGTTGCAAACCAACTCACATAGAGAGGACAAACAATTATAATCTGAGTGACTTCAAGACAGACCACGCCAAACAGCTGATCTGCCGCAATATTTCAAGCAAGAAAAAAAAAAGATTTTTCAAACTATCTGTATGAGAAAGTAGTATTATCTGCTTCATCGTCATCATCTGTATGCTCCTTTGGTAATGTAATTATCTGGTGCTAAATGAGTATCTGTCCAGCTGGCTGGATCAAAACTTCCCTCCGCAAGCCTCCAGTGAGTGGGGTATCCACCCATGACCGACTCTAATTTGTGTCTTCATCCATTTATGATATAGATGCTAATGGAGGCTGATATTCAATTAACCAAACTGAATCAAAACTGACTGGCCAGACAGACCAAAAGTCATGAAGCAAAATTTACTATTTCAAGGAAACATTGCGTTCTTTTTTTTTTCCAGTGGAATGCCAAACTGATGAAAGGTTTTTGTAGGCGCTACTAAAATTTAGATTAATCAAATAAAATCTTTAGCGAAGCAAGTGTGATTATTTGAGAGAGGGCGCCACTAATTCAAGAATGTGCTACATGATTAAAATGAAGTTTAACTGAACATTTCTAGAAAGCACTTAGAAGAGTTTATTTCCATAGTAATCCATATTGGCAGTTTTACTTGCTATCAGTAGTTAAGTGTTCAGTATCAGTATATAAGTGTTATCAGAAAATTTTTGATGAGGTTTAGATATGAAGTGTGTGAAGAAGTTGCTAAAACATCCGAAAATGTTTTAATTTTCACATTTCTCACTTTAGGCTGCACAGTGGGTAGCACTGCTACCTTGCAGCAAGAAGGATCCGGGTTCGATTCCTGGCCTGGGGTCTTTCTGCATGGAGTTAGCATGTTCTCCCTGTGCATGCATGGTTTCTCTCTGGGTACTCCAGCTTCCGCTCACATTCCATAAAACATGACTGTTAGGTTAAATGGCTTCTTTAAATTCTCCTTAGGTGTGAGTGTGTGCATGAATGATTGTTTGTCTTATTTGTCTCTGTGTTGCCGCGATGGACGGGCGACCTTTCCAGGGTGGACTTTGCCTCTCACCCATCGACAGTAAGAGATAGGCACCAGCACCCCATGTGACCCCAGCAGGGATATGTGTTTTTCAAGGGGTGGTCTGAAGGGAGAGGCATGGTTGTGTATGTTCAACAATATAGCTTGCTGGAACCGTTTTTCCAAGATCTTCTACAGCACCTTTAATTCATCCCCCTTCTTTTCAGATAAACAGAGTTTTTTGCCGTCAATGGCTTTACCTCAGTTGCCAGACGAAGACACCGATGAGGATGCTGGTGATGAGGAGAGTGATGATCTAGATGAGTGAGATGATAATGAACATCATGCTGGCGAT